GCAATGGCCTCCAACCCAATAGCAATGGCCTCCAACCCAATAGCAATGGCCTCCAACCCAATAGCAATGGCCTCCAACCTAGAAGTTGTCGTTTTCATGTCCAACCACTGTGTGGCGGACTGCCACTGTCATGAAGCGTCTTGACGCGTTGATTCTGCTACCACATGCACGTGTGCAGCGCGGAAGGTTGCCGAGGGAGGCAGCAAACTGACCGCTTGGCAACAAGAAGACTGATCCTTTGGCAACAATTCTGCAAAAGCACAAACAAATCAAACAAATGATTGCGCAATTGTTCTCTGATTTTGTTTGCATGCAGCGCATGACCTGCTGGCATCTCAACCTTGCAGCTGTTGAGTGACTCGAAGGCCAGGCACTCGATGGAGCCAAAATTTTCGAAGGTGGCGCCATGTTTAAACGGTTTGTGGCAATGCAGACAAGGCGTCCTGTGGCTACGTGTTTGGTCACTGGTGCCTCAGTAATGAGCATCGGTGACTCAGCGGTACAACTTTGTGGCTCGGGCACCTTGGACGTCGAACGGAACGTGGTGGTGAGCGCATACAATGCAGGCTGGGCTGTGACGAAAACACCAAAAACACTGATGTGCAGGACTGGCTTGACCGTGGTTCAATTTTGTTTCATAGTTTTCAATGGATTGTCCTTCTCTGTAGACTGAGGCAGCGCTCCATTCTTCTACTTTTGGTGGCAAACCCTGGATGGTATGTTTCCTGGAAAAGGATGGGCAGCAGTCGCGCGCAAAACGTTGGTGAACCAAGCCACGATGGCTCCCTTCAACAGCGCGCTCTTTCTGACCTGGAGTACTGCCTTGGAGTCGGCAGCTGAGAGACATGATCAGGTCCAAGTCCCAAAAAATACCATGTAGTAACAAGAAACTACTAGTAACATCTAGTACTGGTATGTACTGGTAACAAGTGCATTGCTACTACTATATAGTAACATCTAGTACTGGTAACAAGTGCATTGCTACTAGGCTACTAGTAGTATACGTGCATTACTACTAGCAACAAGAAGCGTAGCGATGACAATAAATGATATTAGCGCGGCATGTGGAAGTTTGTAGGCCACACCAGTCACAAGTTGTGACATGTTCTTTGTGTCTACGAAAAAAGGTTGTCCAGAACATTCCAGAACAGTGTCTCCGATCCAAGGGCTCGGGAATCAGATGAATCAGGAATCAGGGACTCTCCAATAGTCTGGACCATCCATCCATCCATCTATCCATCCATCCATCCATCCATCCATCACAATATCTCGGGCTTCATGTCTCTAGCATCGGCGTTCGCTCTACATCTCGCTGTTGGGACCGTGTTTCTCCTTGAAAAAGCCCCCCCGCCCTGGCAGACGGGTGCTGAACGAGCCTCAGACATGAGCGCAGACGGGTCCGTTTGAGGCCCTGGATCAAGACCATCCGCAAAAAGGGCAAGGATGACCCGAAAATGCCGCCGTGGCAGCACTTCAGAGATCCCCACCCATGCACCCGCCTGAACAGTGTGTTCCGGCAAGAAAAAACCGCCGCGACAACGGCGTTTGATTGGTGTGTTTTGGTCGTGGAATCGAGTCTCCTGGAGACTTCGCCCAGGTGCTTATAGACATCATATTTTTTTTTGTTTCCGTTGTAATTAGTGACGTTTCTGTTCATTCAGCCCAATACAAGGATCTCACTGCGATCGTGTTGTTTACATGATTTGGGAAATCCAAGCCTAAAGCCCTTGGCTCAGGTCCAACATTTGGGAGAAGGCGGGTCGGCCATGGTTTTGTCATGGTGCGCTTCAGACGCATCGTTGTGAAAGTAAGCTTGGCACAATGGAAACTCACTGACACCTATGCCTACGGCCGATCGCGAAACGGCCTGCCAGGTGAAGAGCAAAGTTCAATCCGAAATACCAGAGCTCGTTGTTAGCCAATGCGGCTATTGGCTTCCAGCCAACGCAGTCAACTTCATGAGCCTTGTCTGAGTATAAAACAGGACCAGAGGAGCTGCTGAAGATTTTCTTTTCTGGCTGATATTCTCCAGATTTTGAAGGTCAGGTTGATTTTGAACACTGATTCTTGTTCATTTTTGCTTCAGGTTCATGCCGCAACATCTTCGTGTGGTGTTCATGTCTACCTGCGCTGTGATCTGGGGAGGATACATCAGCTACGTTGTACACCGCTAGCGACCCAAGGGATTCACCAGCCAACGGCAGTCAAATCGCTGTGCTCAAGTGAGACGAGCGAAGCAGCAAGAAGCGTTGTTGGTGGGTCGTCGGATGGGCCTTTGGCCAATCTTGCAACCCATGGCCCGTTGTCACTGAGTAAGGCTAGGTGGTGCAGATTCCTTGTGTTGTCCAGAATCTGCTGGGGTTGGCTCACTAGGAAGCATATGCATGCATATGCAGTCTACTACATTACTAGATTGTGCAACTAGGCCGAGCTAGATGCTCCGGAAGATTCCTGAATAATGTGTAAAGGATTGCAAACCAGTTTATGGTATGGTACTTGTAAGTCTCCAAGAACAGCATCCTGTCTGTTTTTTGTGTGATTCTTTTGCATGATTTTGTTTAACAGTTTTGTTAACCTTTTGTCATGCTTGGGCTGCTTCCCTGCTCGGCTTGTGGGCGGGAAAGTGGCCACAAGCAGTTCCTAGCAAGCCAACCCTTGCAGCATGTACAGGCCACTAGTTGCTTCGCAATCAGAGCAGGATGCGAACAGGCTGCTGCTGCGAGCCCACGCGAGCCCAAATATCCCTCGGCGCCAGCTGCTTGCCAAACTCGGCAACGGTTGCGTGCCAGTGGCTCGAGGGCTTGCAACAGCTCGAATGGCAGAAGTGGCCATTTAGATGCCAGTGTTTAAAGGTTTGCGCCGTCCGCACTTGGGGGTTAACACGTTCACCAAAGTAAGGGCCTTTTCTGAGCTGAACTTGCAGCTCGACTGAGTGGATGTTGGATTCACCATTTTTGTCTCCGCAGCTGTTTTCGCGCATCAAAACATCTTGACGCCAAGGAGTATTCTTGCAGTGGAATTCTCCGGGTTCTCAGGATCATGAAACTGCGCGACAGAAAGCGCGCGTATTTGTGTGTCCTGCATATTTAAGTGTACTACATCTACTCCAACTTCGCTCGGTATTTGTCCCACTTTGATTTTGAAGAGTAAACTGACATGCAATGGCCTCCAACCTAAGAGTGATGGCCTCCAACCTAAGAGTGATGGCCTCCAACCTAAGAGCGATGGCCTCCAACCTACGAACCATGGCCTCCAACCTACTAGCGATGGCCTCCAACCTAATAGCAAGGATTTATGATTTTGCAAATTTAGTAAACTGACACGCAATGCACGACATCTTGGTAGGCTAGAGGGAACTTTGCCTCGACAGCCGTGTCTTGGAGCCATGTCTTTCTTGGAAGGCGACGGTGTTCTGGAGGCCCTTCTTTCGAGCAGTGGGCATCAAAAAAGCACTCTCTGTTTGAAGGACAAGCTGTCAGCCAGCTGGACCCAGCTGTGGACTGATCATGATTGATTAGCGCATGGAGTGTACTGTAGTCAACACCTGGCCAGCAACACCTGGCCCTGGCCCGAGCCCCTGAGACGCGGCCGGACTGACCGGGGCACCCCCCTGCCCGAAGTCAGCACGGCGCCTCCGCCGTAGCGACAGGCAGCCGAAGTTTTTGTCTAAGTGAATCGATGCGTCCCTACAAGTCAGGAACTGGCCTCATGAACTACTGGAGATGGTCGTACAAAACATTACAAAACCAATACTGAAGGAGGTAAAAGTGCAGGTTTTACTGGGTCAGACTGGACTTCTAGGGCTTCGATGATGGACATGAGTCTCATGTAGCCCTCTAGTCTGAAGGGGAGGCTAGCTACGACACCAGACCAAGTGCTGGCTGGGACTGGGCCTGATGATTGATTCATGATTTCCAACCCCCCATCCTCCCTTGAATTGATCAACAGTAATTCGATGAGTAAATGTGTGCCCTCTTCGTCCATTGAGGGTCCAGCCCTCAGCACCATGTCCTGTTTGAGGCCTGTCCCAGGCGGAAAATCCCTGCATTTTCACCTCGACACCCGCAGTGAACTGTCAACCGTGAAGACTTCCATGTTTAACTTCTCCTTTTTGGGAGGAGCGCTTGCTGGACTTCCTGAGCAGTCCGACGGACCCGCAATGGGAGCCTGGGTAAGACCCCCCATGCGGCTAACACAAGTTCACGTACCATCCACACATCCGGAGTAGTGAATTGAAGATCCATTCATTATATTTTGCAGTCTAGCCAATTTCAGATGCCAACAAAGCACAATGACGCAGCTGTTTTTGATCTCGAACTTTACACAAGTCTTGTCCCAAGCATCCCAGGATAGTCTTATTGAATCAGATTGAAAGCCCAACGAATCTCCAGTACACGCTATGGAGGTGCATTACAACAGGACCAAGATTCTGTAAAGGGAACATAGTAGACAAGTTGGTTTGGGGTTGCATATTCTAATCCATTTACACAGACCAGTCTATTTCCGGATACATCCTTTTGTTTCGTATTCTTTAGCTATCTGGTGCTCAGAAGGGATCCATATTTTCCAAAAGTATAGACAGGGGGTTCCGTTCTGAGCAAGAACGTCCACCTCGTTTGGCGTCGTCCTGCCGATCAATTGATCACTCTTCCAAAACGATTTGGTCGAGCCTCGGGGTTTCTCCGAGATTGAATCCGTTGGGATGGGTGCATCTGCAAGTCTGGCTTCAACGGTGCTGGTGCTGTGCAGCTATGCAGGACAAACGCAAATTCTTCACGCTGTGTGCCGCTGCATTTTTCGATGAATTTTTTCTGCCGACCTTCACAAGCCTGGTAGAAAGCAAGCTCTGATTCCTCGCTCCATGTATCTCGTTGTATCAGGCCGTGTTAAGAATTCAACGGATGTTGATATGCGGTGTGTCAGAAGAAGTGCACCACCAAACGGTAACCCTAAAATGCAGGTCCAGTTTCACACATGCATGACAGGACTGTGTCCCTCATGTGCAAGGGAATAACCAGGTAACCAAAGGGTTCCGGTCTTGCAGACTTGCATGCGGACTTTGGCTCAAGGCCATTAGCGGGAAAAAGCGCGTGTGGGCGTTCGATCTCGCGTTTTTGTGGTTATCTGCCGTAGGCTCCCCAGCCTACGGTTGTGCCCGAAGCCATTACATCCTATGTCGATACAAGTGTCGAACCGACTGAGTTGATCGGCAACACACTTTGGCGTTGCGTGCCCGCTCCGAGAGGCGGGAGGCGAGGGTACAATCAGAAGCTCAGACACTTGCAAGAGGAACAAATATCCTGTTGTTCTTCCTGGCACGCCTACGCTGCGCATTGGGGATTTTCAATTGTTGAGTCTGTTCTTCAAGGTGGACGGGAGTGGGGAGAGACTGAATCCGAAGAGGAGGGAGCAGGATCTTCGTCCGTTCTTGACCCGCCTGCCCGCCTGCCCAGAAGGCGAAGCCAGCGCCACCGATTGTTCCAGTCTTTACGACACAGGTCGTTTCGGTGCCATCGAAGGCAACAGTTGAGACATCACAGGTTGTTCATTGCCGGTGCAAGCGAAGCCGAAGGTGAGACTTGCGACAACTTCAAAAGGAGTTCCGCGGAGCAGGGCTACAGATCTTGGAGACGAGCGTGAGGTTACAGATCTTCAGTCGAAGGCGGCGTCATCAGCGAACTTGGAACCGATCCGAGAGGTGATTCGTCCGACAGAGGTGATTCGACCGACGTCCACTCCAAAGGCCATTGCGAAAGTCTTGCCAAAGCCGCCGCCAAAGGAGCCGCCTATTGTAGCTCCAGCATCGACGACAGCATCGAAGTCGGTGCCTCCGAAGGCGGCGCCAGAGCAATTGTTGAGGCCGAATCCATTCTTGCTCCCGGACGGAGTTCTTGCCTACGAGAGGTCGCAAGGCCGAGAGGGCGAAAGCTATGAGGAGTTGAGATCGTATCGGTACTTCAACGGGTTGTTGCCGGGAAGTGGTGTTGAGCGTAAGTTTATTCTTTTCCTCGATTACCATCAAGTGCTTGACAGAGGCGTAGCCGAGTCAGCATCGTGGTCGCACAAGATCCCAGGAGACAACGTGAGTTTCTTGAGACGTGTAAAAGAGTCAGCAGAGCGTGTTTGGGGCAACAGGGATGCATGGTTGATTTTTGTACTGAGCCACATTGAGACATCTTCAAAGAACTTGGAGGGACTCTTGAGAGCTTGCAACGGTACAAGAGAGATCATTGAAGAGAACCTGATTCAAGCATTGTTCGTGACTCCAACAGCCAGAAAGATTTCCAGAGGCTTTTCAATGCCGATCTGCATTGTGGACGACAACGTCCGTGTGATTGCAGAGTTTGCAGGAGCCCAGGAGCATCTTAATCCGACCATCCATTGCGTGCGCATCAAGCTGAGAAGGAAGCCATCGGCCGAAAGAGCTGAGGTGGTTAGGCCCTTTTTGGCAGGCTGCAGTGAAGATTTGGAGAAGTTGTTCCGACGCTATCAACGATGATTCCGACAGGAGAAATCGTGCCGGCGTCTCAGGGTTTTGCCGTAGCAGCAGGTACTCCGATTGCAGATATTTCGTCTAGTACTGAACCCATGGAAGAAGACCAACAAAGATCCAGTTTTGTTCAGGTGCAAAACCAAACACTGAACCAGTTGAATGTTTCAGCGGACCCAATCATTGTTGCCGAAGCTCACCAAGAGATTGCTAGGGCCAGACTAGAGGCTCAAAGGGTAGCTCTTCTTGCCGATGGGGCAGTCCGGGAGGCAAACCAAAGGGTGGCAATGATCCAAGGGAATTCGCAAGCGCAAGTGGCAGACGTTCAAAGAACAGCTCAAGAGAGGGTAGAGTTGGTAAGCCATCAAGCCAATGTTGCAGTAGGTCAAATCCAAAATGAAGCACTAGCCAGTCCCAAATCCAGCAAATGGAAGAAGGTTTAAGGTTGGGTAGGCAAGAGAACCATCAGATGAAGGCTTTTGTCGAGCAAGCCAATAGAAAGCAAAGGGAGCATGCTGAGATCGTTGAAAGTCTCCATAAGGAGCGCCACATGCAAACCGTTGCAATGAGGTCTAGGATCAATCAGCTTGAGGGCACAATAGCCCTGCAGTCTAGGACCATGCAGTCAACAGGCGATGGACGCCAACCAAACACCAACCGGGTCAGAGTCCTTCCGTGGTTTGCGCGTCCCACACTCATTCGCTCCACCTAGCCATGAGCTAAATGGCGCGGATTTCCGTGCAGTGTCCGCCAAGCCTTCAGGAACTTCGAGCGCCAGTCATATGGACTCCGAGATGCTTCAACGCACCGGAGCTCCTCAAGCAGGTCTGAAAGCTGTTCTAGAGGCGATAAGCTAATGATGCTGTCAGGAGATGAGTTCGTTAAGGAACTTTTTGGAGAGAAGAGTCTTGATCCAAGTCCAGTAGGTAGAATGCATAGTCAATCACCTCCTCCAATGACGTTGCGTGCACAGTCATAGCCAACTAGTTGCACTCATGTCATCTCAGTTGAACGCTTTGGCAAAGGCAGTGCAAGGCATTGTGAAACATGCTTCATCAGGTAGGGCAGACAAGCCTCGTAGCTCCGGAAAGCCACCATCTTCTCCAGGTCCTTCGTCTTCATCAACAAGCAACTCGTCAGGGAAAAGCTCAAAGGACAAGAAGCCAGGAAAGGGTGGGTCGGACGGGTGGGCGTCTCACCGGGTGGATCTCCTAGTGGTAGTGGGGCATCATCTCCATCACGTTCCCCAATAGACAAAGAGGGAATCGATGCATACGCCTTGGAGAAGAAGCTCATGAGGGTCAAAACATATGAGTCCCTGAAACTACCAACTCTCCCGAAGAATGCTTCAGAAGCTAGGACTTCAAGAATGGTATGTTCAATGTGATTTGCAAGTTAGCCAAAGCAGATGAAGCACCAGCCTTCAAATGGATCAGCCGTTGTGCAAAGCCAGATGCAGATCTTTCCGATTCGTCGCCGTATGCTGCGTTGGACCGTGTCTTGGGAAGCAAGCTTCTTGAAATGTCGAAGAACACAAGGTTTGCCATGCAGTTCCAAACCATGCAGGAGGAAGCGCAGAAACACGGACGTCAGCCGAAGGGTCGCAAATTGCTTTGGGTGGTGTTTGAGAAGTTCAAAATGGAAAAGGACAAAGGGGTTTCTTTGACAGAGAGTCATCTTCTGGGTTTGAATGGCTGCAACAAGGGTTGGTGCGCAACTGAAGTGTCACAATGTCAGGCTGTGGATGGAGTCAAGCAATTGTAACACTGGGGGATGTCTCAAGGGAGTGTTCAGATATGTCAATCCAATGTAGCGATGCTGAGTCACAAGGGTCGGTCAACATGCACGGTGAAGGGCAATGCAAGGGACATGTTGTCATGAGGGGAAAAGATGGGGGGAGGAACCTACCATGCAGGGGTAACCAAGCAAGATACTGGTCAACGGGACAACATAAACACGCTCAAAGGGGGGGAATCCAATTTCGTACATGCAATGGAGAACTGTGATGGTGAGCGGCAAAAGTTGTGGCTCCTAAACCAAATGATTCAAATCTGAGAGATGCCTGGGTCAACGGTTTTCAACATCACGCTGGGGCAAGACGAATGCTGACACAACTGACAAACAAGTCCATGTGAATGATGCCACTCGCGAATTGAGCTAAAAATCGTGCGGATGAAACAGTTGGTCTAATCTCTGAAGAAACCAAAACTCCGTTGAAGAGATTAGGTAGTCACATGCTAGTGATCCAGTCAAACTATGTACAGTGGCAAGGACCTGAAAAGGAGAAACAAGAAGGAACCTGAGGACCGGTGTTGCGAAGGTTCACTTGACTCAAGGCGAATCATCGAGTTCAATCAGTGCCGTGATTACACGGATCTTACCCGGAGCCGTCCGCCGAAGCTTGTCGGAAGTCACGGGCAGTACACACACTTGAAGAGCGAGTCGGCTGACTGCGTTATGATGCTAGAATGCTACTGAAACGGCAAAAGGAAACGCAGGACGGTAACCAATGTTGTTCAACCACTGGTGAGACGGACGTCCTAAAGGCTGGGCAACAACGTAAGAGACAGCTCTTCAAAAGTTCCAACAACTCCTAAACCGCAGGTACGTCGGGATGATCAGTCCCGATATCCTCAGGACACTGCAGAGAGCTTTGTTAAGTGGAGCTCTGCAGGCCTGCTCCACTCCCCTGCGAAGTACTTACAGCAACTTCCTCTGGTGCTGATTTGATTGTCCCCTGGGAACGGAGGTTGACGCACACACACCCTTGCCTGTCACGCTACTTTCTGAGCCTTCTCTTTTCTTCTCTTTGTTGTGTCCTTCTCTTCTTTTTCGCACACGTGCCGCGTCAGCTATGTAACTTTCGTAACTGGGAAGTTTCTCTTCTAAACTTCCTTTGATCATTTTAGATTTTGATGTTTTTGGTATCTGCTTGATTCTGGTCAACATAAGCGTGTCTTTTTTCGCCGAGTCGAGAGTCACCGCTGCGACATTCGCCATATGCTCACTGTGGCTTAAGCAAAAATCGCCGATGTTTGGATGTCGAGGTCCTAAGACCAAGACTGAATGTAGAGACGAAGATGCGCCAAAAAGATCCAAAAAGTCACATGAGAACATGCCGATCCGGTCTTCCACAAGCGGCTTGCTGTTGCCGTTGCTTGAGCCACTACTCTCCTATCAGATAGCTCTCTTCGCCGCTCAGGCAGCTCGAATGCGTCAGATCGCCATCGGGAAGGCGGAAAATGCGACACTGAAAGGTAGCGGTTG